AAGCTTCATAACCTTACATCTGTTATTAATAGAGCATCATTACTTAAGCAATTTCAATTCCCCCCAAAAAATTAGCAATAATTCAGATACAAAAATCAATCCCTACCACCATAAAGTTAACAGTAATTCTGATGCAAAATTCAATCCCTACTCAAACTACAACTTTACCAAAACAACAAATAACGCCCCAGCATCTACACAACCCGTCAACATAACTTCATAAGTTCACAACTCACCCTAATTTGCAAAAAAAAATTGACATATATCAACAAATTCCACCTAATTAGATCCACAAACATGCATAATTAATCTTACACCAAACTTAATTTATAATGCTTAACATAAATAACTGAATGAAATTCTAGGGTTCCTTTTTCAAAACTCACCAAATTTGAAATTCTAGGGTTCCTGCATGTCCTTTCTTTGGAACCCATTGCACATCCTCCAACCAAAGTCTCCTGATTTTCTTCACTATTGTCTGGAAATTATGTGAGGCCAAACAACACAACCACAAACCAACTATAACTGGGTTTGGAACATGAAGCAAGTTTTCAAACAGGAAAGATGTTTTCGACGACAACGATGTTTGAGCAAACGCTGGAGAGGGAGCATTTTTGTATGAGGACAAGACTTATTTAAGACATAAAGTGTTAATGTCGGGGGTATGGTTTAAATCCCAAAAATTTTGAATTCATACCGGGTACTATTTTAATTAAATGACGGACCATTTATGATCTGGTTTCATCCTAAGCTCATTCCAATGGAAATTGTTTTCTACCGTTCAGTTTTCATCAAATGGACTACATTATGTCCGCACGCATGATCCGCAAAATGTTGCTCGTACCTTAGAAATCACGAAATAGTAAATAAGTTGAAATCAAAGTCCCATTTCATAGCAAAGATGAATAGTGAAATTTTTTTCCTACATTAAAGTAATAATACTTTTATAAATATAATTTTCTCCAATATCTTAATCACGGCGCATTATTATTTTTAGAAAATAATGAAGTTATTTTTAGAAAATAATGAAGTTATTTTTATTGTTGTTATTCTGTTAATTTATGAAACACAACATATATAAACAAACCTAAGTAAAGTTGGGATGATTCCCATATACAATAATACCAGAGGAAGAATATTTTATGCATGAACTATTGTTTTTTTTTTTTTTTTTTTTGGATGCAAAGAAATTCATTAAAGCACGAAACCTCTAGTACAATAATTTTCAATACAATTAAAATTAAAGGTAGGAAGAGCAACATCAGGTAAATAGAAATCCCAATAATGAGGATTCTAGAGTGACAGACCAATGTGAGCTAAAGCATCTGCAATAAAGTTTGCCTCCCTGAAAATGTGCTTCCAGTCAACTTGACTAAAAGACTGAGCCAGGATACGAATATCATTGATGATAGAGCTGACTCTCTAAGGAATTCCCCAATAACCCTGCATAGCTTCAATGATGAGCTTAGAGTCCCTCTCCACCATCACTTTAGTGAAACCCTTGTGCCTAGCACACTGGAGCCCTTCTCGCAAACCCATTGCTTCTGTTACTGAAATAGTAACGCTGTCAAGATTAAGAGCCCCTGCCCCAATCACCTGTGAATTACTGTTACGAAGCACAAAGGCAACAACCACACGATTGTTCGAAACTGAACCATCAAATTGAGTTTAATCATCATGCTAGTTAGGAGGATGCCATTTAATAAAGGAAGAGATAGGTAAAGCCTCCTTGGGGTCATACTTCCCATTAGCCTTGAGAAAAGCCGAACCAACACTACCAGCGATGGAGACACAACACATCGGGACCGGTGGCACACTTCTGAACACTAAGTTATTTTTTTCTGTCCAAATTTGCCAGCAGTGAATTACTTTACCAAGATCAGAAAGGCTATCTTTGTCATTAAAACTTAAGGATTCCAACCAATCAAAAAAGTTATCATTTGCACTAATGTTATCATTATTAAAAATACCAAAAGTTGAGCTCCAAACTTTAATAGCAAGAACACAATTACAAAAGAGATGACATTGATCTTCTTTGGCTGTATTACATAACGAACATAATTTATCAATATTTTTAACAAAACGACTTAAGCGTTTTTTGGTTTGCAAAATCATAAGCCAAGCAAATATTTTAACCTTAGGAGGACTAGTTAGCTTTCACATTTTCTTTAACAAGGTAAGGCGATTACTAGAGTGATTGTTCTGATTTTGTAGCCAGGTAGCAGACTTAATAGAAAGTTTCCCATTATTGGTTAAACCCCAAATTAACTTGTCCTTCGACTTTTGTAGAGGGAGGGGAAAACTACAAATTTTTCTAGTGATGTCACCATCAACTACAGTAGCTAATTTAAAGTTATCCCCACTATTCTGAACTATAAAGTTTCTTACTTTAAGATTCCAATCAATATTATTTCTATCATTCACGGGAATTAAATGAAAAAGGGGGTTAAGGAAAAACCCATTGATGGGTCCAAAAGAGAATGTCTTCACCATTACCCATAATCCATCTCATTCCCTCATGGATGATGTTTCTATAAGAAAGAATGTCTTTCCGAGTAAGTGAGTAGTTTTGTTTAATCTTTGAATTTAAAAAATCGAAAACTTACGTAAGTATTTACTTTTGACTATTTCAGCCCACCAATATCTTTATTGGTTAAAACTTTCCAACCTAATTTGGCTAAACAAGCATTATTAAAATGATCAATCTGTTTGATTCCTAAACCACCCTGATTCTTCGAAGAACAAACCTTCTTCTAGGCCATTGGTTTGAGTTTAGTATTTCTCCCCCAAAAGAAATCTCTCCATTCTTTATCAATTTTAGTTGTTACCCTTTCGGGGCACTTAAAGCAAGACATTACATTATTTGGCATCCCGGTGAGATTAGAATTAATAAGAGTTAGTCTCCTGATCTTGGAAAGGGTTTGCCCTTTCTAACCGGCAAGCTTTTTCTTCACCCATTTAATTAATTCTACCTCATTAATCAGATCCTTCTAGAAACTATATTATGGATCCCTAAGTACTTCCCAATAGTGGTTTTATATTGAATGCTCAAGATATTCACAATATTGTTCCTGTCCTGGTTGATAGTATTATTTGAGAAATAAATAGAAGATTTATGAAAATTTACCTGTTGACCTGCAGTCAATGCAAACATCTCAAGGATTTGGAGGACATTTCTAGCCCCTTTAGGGGTAGCTCGGGCAAAAAGTAGATAATCATCTACAAAGACTAGGTTTGAAATTCTAAATCCCCCAGGGGATGATAGGATTCCCACATGGGATTTAGGAGTAGAAGCCAAACGATTAAAATATCTAATAAGCGGTTCCATACATAAAATGAAAATGTAAGGTGATAAGGGGTCACCCTGTCGTACGCCACGTCTAGGATAGAAATAACCATGCGGAGATCCATTAATTAAAATGGAGAAAGAAGTTGATGTAATGCATTCCATTATTAAGTTGATTCACTTCTCATTAAAACCAAAGCGAATTAAAACATACCTTATGTAATCCCAATTTAAAAGGTCATAGGCTTTTTCCAAGTCCAGCTTAATACTCATAGTCCTCGTCTCGCCTTCTTTACCTTGAAGTTAAAATACTTTACACAGTGGGCCCTACAAAATGAAACTTTGTGTCAAAAGCGTGTGTCTCCATCTATGTATATATAAATTTACATTAGCATTGCATGCGCGCTAGGTATGTGAATAAGGGTGAAGTTGAATATTTTAAAGACGTTTTGGTTGATAAGGAAGTAGATCTGGAATTTCTTGCACAACCCTATTAACCCGACACAAAGTAATACGAAAATTAAGTTTCGGGTCAATTGGTTAACGAGTCAAACCATTATTGGGTGATCCAATAAGAACCCGTTAATAAGTTAGGTCGATATTGGGTGATCCATTAAGAATCCGTTAATAAGCCAGGTTGATATTGGATGACCCATTAAGAACCCGATAATATATCATTTGTTCTATCTAGACATTAGACATGACAATTTTTTACATAACCCTTTAACTTGATACGCAATTATAGAATCCATTAGCGAATCGGATTGTTATCAGATCACCGATTAAGATAACAACACCACATGACCCGTTGAGATAACGGATATGACACGAACTCAACAAATACGACATGTTTAACAAGTCTACAGGGAAGGTTAGTATAGAAGTATAGATATTTAAAAGGTAATAAACAAAAGGGAGAGAGAGGGAGGCGTCTTATGTGAATTTGAAGATGGATGTGACTTAAGTTTTTTCATGTTCTTGGGCGTCTGCCAATCTTGAATGCTTCTCTAGGTCCGTTCAGATGCCACCACGCTTAATGATGTGCCCTAGAAACTTGATTCTCACTTGAGCAAACGACCACTTCTCTTTCTTCACAAACAACTGGTTGTCTTGTAGATTCTTGGAATACTTTATAGAACAAATTTAGGAGTTTGCGTTGTTTTACCACTACCAGTCTCACCAACCAAAATCAAAGATTGGTTTCTTTTTGGTGCCAAACTGGCAGAGTCTTCTTCTTCTCAAGAATGTCATACTACCTCTAGAGGAGCCGCACCACGATGGTAAGCAATGTGACGGACTGGAAGTATACCATGAAATTCTATGAGATTCTTGAGATTCTTGAGAAGAGGAAGACTTTGCCAGTTTTGCAACAAAAAGAAACTTCTTGCAAGCTCCAACCAATTGCTGCTCGTGAAGAAAAAGAGAAGTGTACCCTTGCTCAAGACAGAATCAAGTTTCCAGACCACATCCCTTGGTCCTTGTGTCAATTGACGTTTTTGAAATGAGAGTTGGAGCATCAGTTTTCGACTGGTGTTGCAATCAAACACAATATTTTTCCAACTGAACGACCGAATCCACCCTCGTGAAAACAGTTTCAAGTTCAAGTTCAAATAGAACCCTCAACCTGTCTAATCCTAACTCATTATGCCGCCCTCAATATTATGCAATTAATATGTCATCAAAGCACCATCAACTGGTAGATAAAAAGGTGAAATGAAAAAAAGAAGAAATACTATCACGTTGCTTTTATTCACGAGTCGTCAAAAGAAGAGTCATTTGACAACTGTGCTTGCTAATAATCTTTTACTCGTATACAACAAGATTGAGATGTTCGAATGCCTGAATAGCGTACCAGAACAGAATCACAATATATAAGGTTATATATTACTGGGAGTTGGAGTTGCAATTGCAACTGTTATTGCCTCTGCCGTTGCCTCTGGCTTCTTCTCCAACTTTTCCAGTGCTTCCCACAATTTCGGGTCCTCAAAATCTTTAATAACAAAGGAGACTCCAGCGTTAATCAATGACGTCCCAGGATTCCTTGTAGCTATACCAACAACTGGCATTCCAGCTGCCACTCCAGCTGTTGTTCCTGAAACGGAATCCTTAACAACCAAAAACAAAACAAAGATGATATCAGAATTCCATTCAGAGAATGTTATGGTTAATGCAATGCATATAGTTTTGAGAGCCAAAGTGCCAAACCTCAAAGATAAAAGTATGCTCATGTGACACTTTAAGTGTTTCAAGAGCCCTCAAATAAGGGTCTGGAAATGGTTTTGCTCGATCACATTCATTTCCAATAACAAGAATTTCAAAGAAGTCTGTGAGCCCTAATGATGATATCATTAGCTCCCCACTTGCTCGTGGAGAATTTGTCACTGCAGCCCGTCTCAAGCCTTGCTTTTCAATCCATTTGCACAACTTGTCAAGGCCCTTGACAGGTTCCAATTCTTCAGATGCCAATCTGCATGTGTCTCGTAAGTTAGGATCAGAAAGGTTCCCCTTAGATAACGGAAAACATAATGGATAGAAGTAAAACTTGAACGCTTAAGATCGAGTGTGTCTTTATAGAAATCTTCTTTTAGTTACCGGAGTCTGACATGTTATGCTAGGACACTGTCAAATCCAGAATGTAGACAGGTATCACGACATGCTATATATGTAACAAGATCAGAATCCTTTACAAATCAATAGAGGTGGTAGTTGATACAACTTTAGCTATAGAAGTCCTGTCATTCAGGACACAAGTACAAACTTCATCCAATATCCATACATAAATATGCCAAATCATTTTATATACCAGAAAAAGAACATTAATTGTGAGATCAAAGACAGTTTGATATAGTTTTACCTTCGGAAAAAGGCTTCCTTATCTTCCAAGAATTTTCTTGCTCTTTTGATTTCCCAATCGGGAAAGATGGTACCGCAAAGATACTCATTATTCTTTCCACTAATATGTTCACTGTAGAATTCCTCAGAGATAGGAACCCCTCCATTATAGCCTACCTGCGGTACACAAATATTTGTGAGTATCATATGCTACGTATGCGTGTATGTGTGCGTGAGAGAGAAAGCGAGCGAGATGTCTACTTCTTGAAGCATTTCGCGGAAAGCGTGATAATGGAGGGGATCTGAATCACACAATGTTCCATCGATATCAAACAGAATTGCTTCAAGAGGAGCGAGAAAAGCCAGGGAGGATTTACTGCCATTACGAAATGGGAGGATGAGGATGATTAGGGCCAACAGAAGAGCAACAAAAAAATTTGAACACAAAGAAAAAGAAAACAAGATGCTTGTCTGGACAAATATACAGAAACTATGCAAGTTCTTTGAGGCATTTCATCAACTCCCTTGTGCGCAATCATCTTAATTTTATTTTTTTGAGAAATGGCAATCATCTTAATTAAGGAAATATTAAAGAAATATTACAGTGTTAAGAAAGATCATGATTTATCACAAACCATGTCATTGTTGCTAATACATTTGATATCAAATTCAAAATTGTTATTATTATCATCTATTTGTATGCATCTCTCTAATAGAGAAGGAAATCACATACGTTGACGGATCTTAACTTTATTAGAGAGATGATACAAATGCTGATACAAGTAGATGGTAAATATAGGACTACTGTTTCAAATTTAATTTGGAAAAGTGCTTAAGGATAATAGGAGCCAAATGACACATAACCCAAGTCATCGTCAATTCGCCATGCAAATATTTCAGATTTTATGGAATGCACTTGTTTCTTTAATATGCGTATTATATATGTATGTACATATTTTTAAAATAGACTTTTGCTTTTCGAAACGTCTTAATAATTCATTAATTACACGTTTAAAAACTTTAATTACAATAAGTACATATATTATACACGTATTATTGAAAAATAAAAAAGAAATTTAATTTAAAAAATTGGCCGAATTTTTCAAAGTGTTATTAGAACAAGGCTGCACAATTATACACGCACTACAATATTTCATATTTTACTAACTACAGCTTGCAATTGTCAAAGCACTAAATATAATAATTGAGAAGAAAAAAAACACTAAATATAAACTATATTTCTCTGAATGCGACAAAATTTGTGCTTTTTCAAGAATCTCACATGTAGTTATTCAAAAGTTTGGTTGTTGTTAAGAACTTTAACAAAATACATGTGATATTCTGGAAAAATGTATTGTGTCAAGAAAAATCACATGTGAAAAAACATTAGGTTCATGAAATACAAAAATAATGCACAAAAAGATGAGTTATTGTTTAGGGAGCTCATTTTTTTTACAAACTTACATGTATTTAATTTTAGCTGTTAAAATAATTCAAATGAATATATGTACTTAATATAATTAATTATTATCCAACTGTCGAAGATGATGATTGTATTAGATACATATAAGTTGTAATGAAATCTCATCTGAATATCCTATTTCTAATCTTTTACACACCTCTTTTTATTTTAACTATAATATTGAATGAATTAAATCAAAACAACATGCGTGATTATGATTAAACATATATTTTATCATTTCTATTAATATTAGTGTACATGTGTTACGAGGCCTGGAAGCAAAATGATATACGTAACATAAAAGCCTATCTTGGTGGGAGAGAGAGATGCATTATCTTCCTTATGTGAATAAACTGTTTTGCTTAAGGATAATGTATGCACGGTTGAGGCGCATCCAGCAATCATCATCTTGATGTGGGAAAAGCCAACTGTGTTACATTGCAATACTTAATATAAATTATTTAATATTATGGTGTAATAGTATTTTTTTTTACTTGTAATCTACGGACGTTATTCGTTATCGGCCTTATTTAAAATTTATATACACACTAAAAAGAATACATATTTTGAGTATAACGAGCGTGTACATACTGAATGAAAGACCGAAAAAGTTATAGAAAGCTAAGGGAGTGACACCATCACCATGCAATATTCTTGTTTGACTATACAATATTCTAAACTACCATAATCTACGAATAAAAAAATGATTCAAAATAGAAAGCAAAGAGACAAACCCACCACCCTGGCCAACCGCCTTAACGTTTGTAATTAAACAAAAGCAATACACACTCAAACAAATAACTCAATACTCATCTTTAAACACAATTTCTAAAACATGTAGTAGTACTGAAACAGAAGGAAGAAGGAGGTTGAAACGAGAAGCTTCATGTGCAAGAAAGAAAAGCAAACCTGTCATCAACAGCTGGGAGAGAATTTGATGAAATATTTGACATCCTGCTGCTGCTGGTGTTAAAACTGGATACAAGAAAGGAAGGTATTTTCAGAAGCTGAGTTAATTCCTTATGTGATGAGCTTTTGGCTGATATAGTTTTCTGCAAATTCTATCATCTTTTATAAGTGGTCAGAAAAGAGTTTGTGATATGCAGCTGGACGTTTCCTATGAGGATATACTTTTTAGGTCAAAATAAAATACCAAAAATATCAATTGACGTGAGTGAATGAAAATTTTAATTACGATTGTACATTTAAGTTGAGTCCAAAAACAGGTGGATTTCAGTGGACATGTGTGTGCCATGTTCCATGTCTCTTCCATATCCCCTTTTCATTCTCCAGTAATCTTGTAGACGGTCACATAGCATTATTAATTTCGCTTATTATAATTTTTTTTCACTTCAAAATAGTAAATGGATGGCGCTAGTATTCGCTAAGGAAGTCTAATGGTTGCTTCCACGTAACCTCGAACATATTTATAAAATATTTTGAAAATCACCTTCAAGAATCAATCAGTGCAACCAAAGAATATTCCACTCACTGAAAAAACAAAGTGACAGAACACCACGGAATGGGAAAAGATCGATAATCGAGGTCCAGAATTAACCAAACCTACATAATTAACCCCTCCCTTAGATTTTAATTATACAACAAAAGACAAATATTAGAAGAGTAAGAATATTGACAACAAAATCTAACTACGGTAAAACTTCTTTAAAGTAATACTCTATAAAATAATAATCTTTTTAACGTCATAAAAATTTTTGGTCCCAACTTAGGACCAATTAACTATAGGAATAAACTCCACATTGTATTAAGTAATAATTTTTCTTGGTCGCATTTTAAGGAAACACACCTCCACATTGTTATAATTGTCAATGAATACACAAATACGCAATATTAGAAATAAAAGTTTAAGATGAACTAAAATATTTCTCTAAAGTTGTTTGGGATAATGTTTTAAATTTTAGAGTTGATGACTCGTCTTTGAGCTTACGGGTATGTAATACTTAATCAACATGAACACCTTCTTGTTGAAGTCAAAATGTTTCTAACTTCTCAAGTATGCCATGTAAGAAATAAAATACTAGGTGCCAAAAGAATTTTATTTAAGAGAAACAAGATTTATAATGGATAAATACATTTGTATGATATTTTTCTTTCTTTGAGAGAAAAGATAAAGAGTTTTATTGATAGAAGAACCAACAACATTACACCACTCAAGGAGCTTAAACAAAGTAACCCAACTGCCCTTACACTCCTCCAACGATAGATCATAAATGATGTCATCAGAAGGTTGCTCAAACCAAGAAAACCTTCGATCCTCCAAAAGAGCATTAAGTACGCCAGCCTTTGATAGGAAAGGTCGTAGCAAACCACAATTACCGCCTCAGATTAAAAACAAAAAGAGCATTACGAGCAAGGTGGTGGGCAACACCGTTTTCTTAATGGTGAGTATGGTAATAGAAACTCCAGTGATCACAAAGAGCATAACCTTTGCGTCCTCCCCAATGTGTCCAATGGGAGCCAAATTGGTGAATTGCTGTTGGAGAGCTACCACGATCTGAAGTGAATCACACTTATGAAATCCCTTTTCTGTCCAATGGGAGATATTTATGTGATTCATAGTCTAGCTATTGTTGTGAAGCAAGTAGAATCCTTGTTTGGCCAAACCATTCTATTCAGGACGATGAGGACATGTGAGACGATGCAAAATGCCATGTTCATCTAAAAAGTTTTAAAAATACGATTAACAAATTCCCCACTATCGGTTTGGAAGGCCTTAATCTTAGAATTGAATATATTTTCAACTAAGTTTTTTTAACTAAGTTTTTAAAAGTAGCAAAGGTAGAAGCATAGCAGGAAAAATCATCCACAAATATCACATAATACTTAAAACTATAAACAAAAAGATTTGGTGAAGACCAAACGTCAGAATGAATTAATTCCAAAGGAGATGAAGACATTGATGTAGATAAAGAAAATAGTAACTTATGACTTTTTCCTAAGCGACAATTGACAAATTTTACTAGAAAACGTGCCTGTAATTGACAATTTATTCGTAGAATTAAATGTTTTAAAATTGAAAACGAAGGATGGCCTAACCTAGAATGCCACAAAGCATGAGTTACACGTTCATCTAACAAAGCAAAAAAAAAACCCTTAGTTTAAGGAGAAGAACGATAAAGATAGAGTCCATTGTCACTCTGGCCTTGTAAAAGGGTCATCCTCTTCCGTGATGTAAGGTGAAGAACCAATTATTATCATCAAAAAAATAGTTTAAAGAAATTATGTTAATGGAGGCTTGAGGACAACATATTGTATTAGGCAAACGAAAAGAAGCATATTTGGTGCGAAGAAGAAAGAAGTCACCAATTTGAGAAATTCGTAAACTTGGACCATTATGTAGACCTCACGAGGATTATGTAATTAACCAACATCATTGGTTATGTGAGAGTTGGCTCCGAAGTCGAAGAGCCACTATTGCACAGATGGTGCAGCTGCAAACGCACAAGAAGAAGGGATAATAACCACATAAGCCTGAAGACAGATGAAGGAACCCTACCTTCATACCTCATGTTGAGAAGATTGAAGCAATCAATAACCGAGTGACCATAGCGTTTTCAAATCTGACATTGAATGCGGCCAAAGAAGAAGGAGGTCTACGGTGAACTGAAGAAGTGATGGGAACCAGAAGGAGGTCTAAGAATGTCATTGGAAGAGGACGGCCCACGGGAAGGGGCTGTAGACGAAGAAGGCTACGGAAAATAATTGTTTGAACTGCGAGAAAACCACCACCGCGTGCATAGCCGCCACCGCGACCACTACACACAGCAGCAAAGGCAGAGGTGCCGACATCTGAAGGAAAATAAAGCTTCCAAAGCATTGTAGGTGATAAGAGTGTCATGGGCTTGGGCAGAAGTAACTGCAGTCTCATAATGGGGACTAACCTTGCTCATGATAATAGCAACCAAATCAAAAATCTGAAACAAGACCCCTAAAGAGAGCGAGATTGTCAGCAAGGGCATTGACTTTGTCAAGATAACAGGCAAAAGAGAGATCACCGCGAGAAGTATTCATGAGCTCGTTATGCATTTGAATAATACGATTTTGAGATGTAAACGCATAATGTTCTTGAATAGACAACCAAACAGATGCCGAATCGATTTTGTTGACAATGGTAACCAAAACCTTGGGAGTAAAAGAGCTGGTAATCTAAGAAAGAATCATCTGATCAATTTGTATGCATTCATTATATAATGGATTAACCTTGTTGGTGAGTTTGCTATTGTCATCAAGCAGAAACGCAGCAGGGCATGGAGAATCTCTAATGACATAGGAGAGCAAATTGCGACTTCGAAGAAGAGGGAGAAACTGAGCACGCCAGAGAGGGTAGTTGTTGCGGTTGAGCTTGATTGTGAGAAAATTAGTTACCGAATGAGCGGTAGTAGCAATAGCAGAGGAGGACGCCATGTCTGAGAAAAAAATAAAATTATTTGAAATGTGAACCTTTGTCGTTAGACTCGGGCTCGTGATACCATGAAAGATAGAAGACTATATTTGTAGAACTCAACTCAATAATGAGTGAACATGATTTCATTAATATTCATAGGAGAACGCAACTAATCAATACAGGAGTAGGATTTACAATTCAATTATAAATATGCTAGAATTCTGTAGAACTAGAAGCAGACTTCATATCTGATGAGAAGTTCGTCTACGATATGGACTTCGTAGTTGCAGTTACAGTAACAGAATGGAACTGTGGTTTATCATACAATACAATATAGATAGTATTGCTCCCTTCCATAAGGGTTGCCTTCAACAAAATCAAAAACAAAAAAAATAAGAGCAAGATTAGCTCCTGATATGATAAAATTATGCAATATGCAGCAATTTATCTCTATAGATAATTATAACACTGTTCTAAAAATTCTAGCCTAGTGCTGCCTAGCACTGTCTAGGTCCCGCCTAGGCGCTAGGTGGCTGACCACCGTCCTGGTTAATCCCTAAGCATTTGAAAATTAAGAAAGGACACCTAGACCGCCTAAGCGCCCGCCTAGCCCAAGAGTCTCACTTAGACAGAAAATAATTACATTTCATTTTTTTTCAATAATTTGTAAGAGAATTGATGAATACTTAGAGAACACACCTTATATGCTTGTTTCCCATGTTTTCATTATGTTATAACACTTAATAATCTATAAGCCATTCTATTTTGCAATTTATGTATCTCAATACAATTATGTAATTTTTAGTATAAGCAAAGACTTATTCATACGATATGTTTGTACCATACTTGACCAATCCCGAAACTACTAAGCACCGGTTAACAGCATACCGTCAAGGACCCACAAGACTTTTCCTCCAACCAGGAGGCCAATCACAACACGACACATGTCGGTATCAGAGGCCAATCATAGCGCAACACGTGTCGATATCAGAGGCCAATCACAACACGACACGTGTCAATGTCAGAACAAAGCTAGAAACTCTCTTATATAAAAAGGGATCATTGTCCCACAATAATCCCTAATGTCATTTATACTAAACTATTCACTAGAACTCACAAAAAGAGAGCTTGAACCTATGTATTTGTGTAAACCCTTCACAACTAATGAGAACTCCTCTACTCCGTGGACGTAGCCAATCTGGGTGAATCACGTACATCTTGTGTTGTTTGCTTCCCTGTCTCTATTCATTTACATACTTATCCACACTAATGACCAGAGCAACCTAGCGAATGTCACAAACTTGATACTTTATGTTGTACCAAAGTCCTCGTCGATTTTGTGCATCAACATTTGGCACCGTCTGTGGGAACCGCACTTATTCTTACTCTCTCCAGCTTTGTCAAGCTAATTTCCACCATTCGCACACTTTCTTTCGACCAGGCACCCCTCTCCAACATGGGGAGCGAAGGGAGCCACAGCACGCAGAATGACACCCTCCTCACACTTAGTGCAAAGCAACGAAAGAAGGAACGAAAGAGGTTTGCTTTTCAGGCTAAAGTCGATGAGCTATAGGCTCAGAACAACAAGATAGCAATAAAGAATGAGATCCTCCTGGAGCAGTATGAGAAGCTTTTCGGAATGCTCCATGAAGCTAGGCATACTCAAACACACAAACTCATCGCCCTTGGGGAATT